GAGAGGAGGAAGAGAGGGTGTAAGGGAAGACAGGGAGAAGGTGAGGGAAATTAAGGGAAAAGGGAGAGATAATGGAGAGAGGGGGGCGAAACAGGGTGAAGGGGGGAAGAGGAGGGAGGGAGAAGGGTATAGGAGATGGAGGAAGAGGTGTAGACAGATTGAAGGGGGAAGGGGAGAGGGTGAAAGGGAAGGGGAAAGGGTAAAAGGGAAGGGGAGAGGGGTGAATATAATATAGAGAGTTGGTGACTGTTGTAGTGAAGTGAGTGTATAGCTGATAGTGACTTGTAGTGGTTGTGGTGTTAGTGGTGATGATAGTGTTTGTAAGGTGATGGTGAACGGTGTTGTAGTGGTGATAAGTGTGAGCTAAGGTGACAGTGTATGGGGGGGGGAGGTGAGGGAGTTATGGTGAGAGACATTATGGTATTAATGGTGAGTGTTATGGTGTTAATGGTGTCTAATGTAGCTGGTGAGTACAACGAAATTTTTTAGTACAAAAGTCAGTGCATTTCGGGGGTTAAGTCATTGTACTCAAGGGGTTTTAACTCGTGTGTTTGTGTGTGCACCTGTGTACCTGTATGTGTATGTGTGTGTGTACCTGTGTGTACCCAAGTTACTGTGGGTGGGAGTAACGGACTATACTGTATCATATGGGAAAATACACACACACACACACACACACACACACACACACACACACACACACACACACACACACACCAAAACCTAACCTAACCACACATTTTGGGGGGAAACAATTCCTCAGTGATCTACTCTGGTGAGACATTGGCATTGTGGTCAGAATTGGGATTGTTTTTGACATATATCTCACAGCTTCATAGACGTTCCCAAATTGACATCCCGAAACAAAGTGGATTCTCAATTACGAACTTTCTCTTCTATACCAATTACCGCATTACTGTATGTGGTTGAGAGGTTGTGGTTGATGGGGGCTTGTGGTTGCGGTAGGATGGTTGTGTTAAATTGGTTGTTTCAGGTTTTGTAAAGTACTCGTTCGTTTTTATTTTGTTTTTTGTTGTTGTTTTTTTCATTGCTCATAGATGGTTTATGTAAGTGGGTGATTTATTTAATTATGAAAGAGTGATAGGAAGGAATAAAGGAGAGTCACTAATAACCTATAACCTACAGGCGTTTTGGGGAATTATGTAATCCTACTTATAAAAATCTAGGGATTATTTAAAATCCCTACTTACGCGAAATCCCTATACTTACGCATCATATAAATTACATGTAATCCCTGTAATGTCTTGGCTGAGAGTCGTACTCCGATCACATTCACCTGTGTCGGGAGGAAGCGGTCAGGTACGATACTGTGAGAAAACGGGATGACTGTGCTTACAAGACACCGCAAAGCTCAGGTGTTCTGGGGTCTTTATACACCTGTGCTGGATACTCATCTAATTGCTTGTCTGTGGTGTAACGGGGGAATGGAATTCTTAGGTGTGGTGTTGATTGTGGTGTTGTGTGTGTGTGGTGTTGTGTGTTTGTGTGTGGTGTTGTGTGTGTGTGTGTGTGTGTGTGTGTGTGTGTGTGTGTCAGGGTCAGAGAACTAATTATTCACCGCAAAAAGTGATCTTTATTTTTTGGCTTTTTTTCTCCCGTGTATATCCTCTCTCTCTCTCTCTCTCTCTGGTCTCTGACGGGCGGCGTTGAAGGTTGTGATCACGACACGGAAAACGGATCTTCACCTCTTATTGTGATGAAGGTGGGAGGTGGGAGGGCATGACACTGAAGTTGTGGTGTGTCGTGAGCACATAGCACCGAGAACACTGACTGCTGGAGACTAGGTATGTTTATGACCCTCTTATTAAAACTTGTCTTGGTAGGTCCTTGCCTCTTGTGACCATTGGCCTCACACACACACACACGCACACACACACACACTTCATGACTGTCTTTTCCTCGAGTCACTTCCCTACTCTGCCACTACAAGAGACACTTAAGAGAATGTTAGGTTAGGTTAGGTTAGGTTAGGTTAGGTTAGGTTAGGTTAGGTTAGGTTAGGTTAGGTTAAGACTCACGAATAATTAATTAGGACGACGATTTAACCCATTTGATACGATGACTTAACGTCTTGATTACAGTTACTTGGCGTCCAGAGTACTTTGAGAAACCCCTTGAGTACGATGACTTAACCCCTTGAAGATGATGACTTAATCCCTTGAGGACGTTGACTTAACCCCTTGAGGGCGGTGACTTAATCCCTTGAGGACGATGACTTAACCCTTTGAGGACGATGACCACCACTCACCATCACCACTCTCCTACCACCACACTCACCACACCACCACTCTCACCACACTCACCACCACACCACCACCACTCACCACACCCACCACCACTCACCACCTCACACTCATATCTCCACTTCCTCTCTTCCCCCTTCACCAACCATCACACTCCCCTCCCCCCCTCATTCCTTCCTCTCCAATACCTCACCAACGTGTTCACGCCCTTGCTTCCTCTCCCTTGGTGGCGGCGTTACCTCCCCGTTCCCCCCACCCCTCTGCATCCCTCCCCTGAGAGGAACAAGTCCCCCGGTGCTGCCAACAAGGCGGGACAAAGAGCCTCCCCGGGGGCGGTGGCGTGAGCAAGGGTACCCGCGGCGCCCCTGACAAAACACCACCCCCAGGAGCTCGCCTAGGGGGGGCCAGGGGGCTCCTGATGGCGGCGGAGGAAGGCAGGAGACAGTGGTTGGATGGACAGGGAAGTGTGTGAGCCTGATAAGACTGAAGGTCCAACTGATTAGGTTAGAAAAGGATGGTAGTCACAGCGGGATCATAGAGCTGAGATGCCCTCTTCTGACGAATGGCTCAAGTTCAAGTGTCTGAGGATATTACCATTAAGACGAACCAAATAGATCATTAACATCCGATCATCGAACCTTAATGACTAGTTAAGCTAACCACATTAACAATTCCTTTCATTTCTAATTCTAATAATACCACTTAAAACACTCACAAGGACACTAAGCGATCATAGTTCAAAACTGATCGATCCATGGCGTCACGAGTCTTTAAATACGACTTTCTATAACAAATACAACAGCCAAATCTATGCCGTTCCGCGTCACTGAATCAGACAATTGGTGTTGAGAGAGACAATAGCATCGACTGTCCGTTTCTATAATTGAGACTTCATTATTAAAGACGGTATGGTTAAAAGGGGACACCAGGCGGGGCTTAAACTTGATTCTTATAGTGTTTAATATCTGTCTGTCTGTCTATCTATCTGTCTGTATGTCTGTCTATCTGTCTGTCTGTCTATCTATCTGTCTGTATGTCTATCTGTGTGTTTGTTGATTTAGAGAGTTGAGGTTAAGGGTGAGTTGTTGTTTATACTTGTGGTGAGATACAGACACCCCCACACTCCCCCCACATTCCCCCCCCACACCC